ACCGCAGCCAGCCCCAAGACGGATGCACGAGACCCCTAGGGGGCCACGTGCGGACCCCACCCCTGCCCCCCACGATTTCTGAGGGGGAGGGTGGGGTTCACTTCGCTCGGGAGCTCCCAGACGAAGTGAACCCCACCCTCCCCCTCAGAAATCGTGGGGGGTAGGGGTGGGGTCCGCACGTGGCCCCCTGACCCCTCTCCTTCCTAGGCGTGCGTCCAGGAGGCCCTGCAGACAGTATCGGTACACACTCCGTGCGGGCCCACGGGGGGCCCCGCGATCTTCGAGACAGCGCTCAGAGGCGCCCTTCCCGTTGTGCAAGCTGCACCTGTGATATAGGATATAGCCCTTTCCAAGTGTAAAGCGGTGGGGTGTCCGAGCCTCGTCATGTCCATGTCGCTGGTTCAAGAATAGGGCACCGCCTCGCATCGTCACGGCAATCCCGCACATACCCGTACCTTGATTTTTGCGCACGTGATTGCCGAGTTGGACACATTTCATGTTCCGGTTCAATTGTCCGAATATGCGACGCGCGATTAATTGCAATAGAAGTCAATCAATTTCTCAATCCATGTCGTAAGGTTCTCGCATATCTCAGTCGCGCTCCATTATTTGGATCGCGACGCCTCTGGCAGGCGCTGTTGTACTCCAACAGCACCGTTCTCCAATTGAAATTAGCGTAGGGCCCGCTGAGGAGACACATGCGTTCAGACACACGGTGATTCATTTGTTTTGCAATGCCGCCCTGGAGGGCTCAATCTGATTTCTGGTTGGCCTCTGGAGAGCCTCCGAGCAGCCTTGGACAGCGCCCGAGCGGGCCACGACGCCCCCCGGAATGCTTCGAGACGGTTCCGAGATGGCTCAGATTTCGTGAAGACCGCCCCAGGCGGCCCAAGACAGGCCCCAGAAGGTCGCCATACGCCCCCAGAACTCTCCGAACGGCCTTGAAGGCCCTCGCAGCCGGTCTTCCCGAGACTTCCAAGAGGCACGGAAACAACTTTCTAAGGTCTCGCGAAAGTGCCCCCAGCAAAATGGCAACATGGAAATGCCTCGCTGCTATGTGACGTTGCCCTGTCCTGCGTTCCGGATGGTCCTCAAGGGAGGAGGATGGAGGGGTAAGAGGAGGATCAGAAGATTGATGAGGAGGTGGAGGAGGAGAAACAAGAGGACGAGGAGGAGGGGGAGGAACAAGAGGATCATCAGCATCCGTGGGAGTGAGCGGGCCCCGAGGAAGTATTTGTCGATTCGATGTGGCCCAGCCTTGCCACGAGCTGACCGATGGCATGTATCATGGCGCCGACATCGCCGAGCGGATTTCGTTTGGAAAGCGATAGGATGGGCCCAGAGTGTCCTGGAGAATTTCGTTCCGGATTTCGAGGTGAATTTCGTGCGGTTAGATTTGGCCAGGAACGAAGACTCAGCAAAAATCCAAGCGAACATCACGTCGTTTTTCACTCGCCGTTCCAAGGTCTTGCATTGACAGAAAACCACGTCTGCAAGGTCGGTGCAGTGAGGCGTGGGCACCCGAGGCGTTGCAGTGGGACCGTCCGCATGCGTCATGGAAGCCCAATTTGGCATTTTCACTTACCCAGTACCGCGTTTCGTGGCCCCATAATAGGGAGCTCCACCGAAGCCCCCAGTGGGGCCGTCCGCATGCGCCCCGGAAACCTTACTTGACACACCACTCACCCAGAGCAGCGTTCCCCCACACCCAGTGCAGCGCTTCGTGGCCCCATGGGGAGTTTCACCGAAGAAGATTCTTACACTTGCGGTACTCGCAACTGCATATGGCTGGGTCCTTCGCCAGGCTAATGTTTTCGGGACATTCGTTTCTGAAATCCTTGCGAAACCCACGCTTTCTTACCTCCCCAAAAAAACAAAACAAATCCGGCATGCGCGCGCGACGAAGCGCGCGTGCGCACGTCGTCCAGTGTTTTAAGCAAGGGGTTCTTGCGACAGCGCGCGCGCAAGGGGGCTCGAGCGATTCCGACGCGCGCGAGATGCCCGTGTGGTGGCACTCTATAAGCATGTTGGAACACCGAATGTTGTTTATGTACGATAGAATCTATTTTGAAAATCTCAAGGGCGTGGGCGCAGGTTTTTGTTGTTTGACTGCCCTTCGTTGCGAAAACACGTTTTGACACACAAATGTTTTGTGATTTTCAAGTTTGAAACCCATACCAAAACCCAAAGTTTGTTGAACCAATCTCCATACGCGCGCGACGACGAGCGCGTGTGCACTCCGTCTATATATATATATATACATATATACATATACACACACATATATATGTTTTACAACGGCTTCTCAGCACTTACCGGTTTTGATACACGTGTTCGCGCGCATAGTATGTTTGTTGAGGATGCGGGGGGGGGACCGATATTGGCCTGCCTGTGGGATGGGGATGGTATGGATTCCCTACCCGGATGGACGAAGGGGCAGAATCATATGCAAATTGCAGTGCGAAAAGGTGGCCCGTCAGCCCCGGGGGTAGATACTCATATGGCTTTGGAAAGGAAAAGCTATGTGGTTTTGCGAATGCTGTGCAATCTACGCGACGACGGGGCGGCGACGGCGGCAGCATTGCCGCCAGACAAGCACACATGCCCAGACGACAGGCAGCGACTGGGCGGCGACGGCGACAGCATAGCCGCCAGACGGGCACACAGGCCCAGACGACAATCGGCTACGAGGCCGCGACAGGGCGGCGACGGCGGCAACCTTGCCGCCAGATTGGCAGACAGGCCCAGCTCCTTAGAAGAGAAGTAAGGACCCCTAAGTGTAAGCACTGCTTGGGGAATGTGGTGTAAGCTGTGCCGTGTAAGCTATGTGGAGTGAGCTGGAGGTGCAAGTTTTATGGTGTGACCTGGATTCGAAAGATGTGCGGTTGAGCTACGGTCGGACCGAGTCATGAGGTCGAGATCGGTGTGGGGAGGGTGCCCTGATGTCCTTCGTGTTTGCTGGGTGCTCTTGTGCATTCTGGGAGAGGGTACCCTCGGTCATCTCACGGTTCGGGGTGTTTGGGCCAGCGGAGGGTCTCACGTTCTTGGAAGGATGTTCGTGTGCCCTGGGCCTGGCCGTATGACGTGAGCCACGAGGTGGCACACGTTTTCGGTGGCAGCTGTGTGGCTGGCTGTGTTGCGTACGGGCGGGCACCGGGCTGAGCCGCGGCGTACCCCTCCCCCAGCGCGGGGTGCCCACGAGGTGCCCACGGGCGGGCACCTGGCAAAAAGTCTGCATCTTCCGCCAGTGCGGGGCGCCCGTGGGGCTCTTACGGGCGCCCACCCAGCAGGCACCAGCCGAAGCACCGACGTGCTCCTCCAGTCCCGCAAGCAAGCTGGGCAAGAAGCCCTAGTTGCAAGCGCTGCTGAGGGAATGGCGTTATCTATCTGTCTTTCTTCCTGCCTCTCGTTCTCTCACTCTCTCTCTCTCGCTCTACCTCCCCCTCTCTTTCTACCTCCTGTTCTGTCTTTCTCCTTGTCTCCCGCGCTCCCTCTTGGTCTCTCTCTCTCTCTCTCTCTCCCCCTGCCTCTCTCCTGCGCGAGGGGGCCCCCGACCAGATCGAGCAGGCGCGCTCACCCCTTCGCGGGGAGGGGCAGGGGAACGAGAGGGTCGGGGAGGGGGGTACGGCAGGTCCGTGCCGTGCCGTCGCGGCGGCGACCCCGGCGCGGGCGCTCGAGGCTGAGGTCGCAACCGATGCGGACGCACACAGATCAGATCGATCCGCCGAGATGTCGAGTTCGGCCGGCCCGATCCGATTCGGTTCCGCTTTTCCGAGGGTGCGATGCGGGCCGATGCGCGCACGGCATGGCATGGCGCCGATACCATTCGATCTCGCTTCCGTGCCGATGCGGCCCTGATCCGACACACATTCTGATTTGATCCGATCTCCCGATCCGATGCTGACTGACCTTGACCTAGCACGGGCGTTCAAGGTTGAATGCCGACAGTGGTCCAGGGTCGCACGGCATCGAAAGATCTGCGCTGTGGGAAATCCGCATACGTTCAAGTCTAAGCGATGCACGCGGTGTCAGAACCCAGCGCGCAGGTCGTCGGCCTGACATCGAAAGGTCTGCGCTGCGGAAAATCCGCGATCATTCCAGGCTGAGCGCTGCACGCGGTGGCAGAACCCAGCACGCAGGTCGTCGCGGGGCACGAGCCTGCCGCACGTAGAGCCGGCGGCTACAATTGATGCGGTTACGCCAGGGTGTGGCTTGCGATTTGCGCCGTCGGGGCTCAGGGGTCGCCACGTTGCGCCAAAGGCTCGATGAGCCCTCGTCGGGGCGCGGCAGAGATCTCTGTCGAGGTCCGCGCCCGCCCCCCCTCAGGCGCAGATTGCGAACCACACCCTCTGCAAGCCACACCCTGCGGAAACGCCGGAGCTGGTCCTGGGGATGGCCTCGAATTCCAGGACCCCTTTCCCACAATACCCGTTTCCTTCATGCAACGTGGCGATGCGCAGCCCAGCGAGCCCGTCGCCGCTGGGCACGCCTCGCAGGGCGGCGCGCGGACCAAGGCAGAGGCGCGGCACGGGGCAGTGGCGGCGGGTTGCAAACCACACCTTTTGCAAACCACACCCTTGGCCCTCCGGCGCCGCACCCGCAGCACCCCAGACGGTGGCCATGTGACGTGTGCGTTGCGGGCTCGCTTCGTGCTTCGCACCCTTTGCAGACCACACGTTTTGGAGTCGCCGACGCACGCAGCTCACCCGCCAGGGGGGGCCTCGCGGAGGAAGAGGAGGAGGAGCAGGAGGAGGCGGAGGAGGGGGAGGAGATGGATGAGGGGGAGGAGGAGGAGGAGGAGGAGGGGGAGGAGGAGGAGGCGGAGGAGGAGATAGAGGCTTGGCTCAAGGAGCCTTGGCTCAAGGAGCCATTTTGGTTCAAGGAGGCCAATGTCCCCATCCCCCTTCCCCCCGCCCTGGGGCTCTCCGGATCCCGATCGACCGATCTTCCCAGGGCGCGCCAGGACCCGCGTTCGCGATCGGCCCGCCGCAGCCGCCGCAATGAACGCAGCCGCAGCCACCGCGGTGAGCGCAGCCGCGGCCGGCGTGAAGAACGCAGCCGCCGGGCTCAGCGGGCTCCCCGCGGCTCTCGCAGCCGCGACGGGCGCAGCGGGTCGCGCGGCCGGTCGAGGGAGCGCTGGAGCCAGATGCCGGTCGCGATGCGGGACGAGCGGCCCCCCTTGGCGCGGCGTGGCCAGAGGGGGCGGAGCTTGGGCCTCAGCGCGACGGGCAAGGCTCGTGCGAGGCCCCCGGCGTCCGCAGACGGGCATGGTGAGCAACCGCTGGGGCTTGAGGACCTTGCGGGCGCCTTCGACCAGACGGGCGGGGTGCAGCCGGGCGGCGACGACGACGACGACGAGGGCAGCGAGGCGATCGCCCCCACCTCGCCCGTGGGCACCCTGGCGGGGGTGGAGGTGGAGGAGAACGCAGGAGGTATCCAGCGCGGGGCGAACGAAACGCTGTTCGTGACGAGCATCGCGAAGGCGCTTGCGCAGTTCGCGGGGGGCGCCGCCACAGAGGCGACTTCGGCAGCGGCACCAGGCGCGGCGGCAGCGGTCCACTGGGCGGGCGGTATAAGCCGCGAGCAGCTCCTCATCGAGGCGGTCCAGCGCTTCACCGCCGACCCGCTCCCCGTGGCCGCCGTCGTTGGGGCAGGGGGTCCAGGTCGCCAAGGAGCAGATTACCGCGTTCCTGCAGGGGAGGGGCGAAACGTGGGGGAAGTGCGAGGATCCGGACGGGCGCGAGTTCTACCGCAACAAGGACACGGGTAAGATGACACTGCACGCTCCGCAGGGCGTCCCGGCCGGGACAGACGAGGCGCAGTTCGCTGAGATGATCGCGAGGGCGCTTGCGGGGCTCGCGGGGGGCGGCCCCAGGGGGTCAGCCGCCGCGGTGCCGCCGGGTGCGACGGCAGCGGCCTCCGCCCCCGTGGTCGCGGGCGGCGGGCCGTCATCGATGGGGCAAGGGCTCCAGGACGCCATGAAGGACCTTGCCGAGCTCCAGAAAAAAGGCGAGGCGCGGGAGATGTTACAGGGCCCGAGCGGCCGCGACTTCTATCGGAACAAGGACGCGGGCAAGGTGATGTGGGAGGTCCCGCAGTAGCTCAAGGACAAGGCGGAACAGGTTGCGAAGATGAAGGGCAAGGCACAGAAGCTCAAGTGCAAGGCGCAGGAGCTCAAGGATCGGGCGCAGACCCTCCAGGACAAGCAGGGGGCGCAGAAGCAGCAGGTGCGGCTTCCATGGCCCCCCCCCCGCAGCGGGGTCGGCAGGGGGCGCAGGCGGCGCCGGGCGCCCGGGGGCAGAGGGGCCGGTGACGGCGGCGACACCTGTGGAGGGGGGGGCCACGCTCAGCCCCGACATGGCGCGGGCGAAGCCCACTACGCGGTCTCAGTTGGCTGATGCGTTGGCGGCTTGGGAGGGGGTGCTCAGGGCGGTCGCGGACAGCTCGCTCACGTGGGTCACCCTGACGTTCTCCCCGGGCTTCAAAGACGCGCGGGCTTTCCACGATACGGTTGCCGCGATGGGTGCGCAGGCGCGCGCCGACTCGGCCGCGGGCGCGGCGGCGCCCCGGCGCAAGCTCCCCTACGCAGCCATGGCCGGTGACGTACACCAGCCGCGCCTCATCGTGATCTGGAAGGCGGCGCCGGAGGAGAGGGCCAGCATGCAGTTCCCGGTCGGCAAGGGCATCCTGACCGTGAAGTCGCGCCGCGGCATTGTCGTGGGCAGGGCGCAGTTGTTCGCGGCCTTCTTCGGGCCCGCGGTCGACGCGATGGGGCCCGCCCCAAGGGGCCGGGGCAGGGGCGGCGAGGTGGGCCTCCTGAAGGCGTTGCCCAGGTGAGCGGCGGGGCGACGACGGCGCGCGCGTCGGACGCGGGCGCGGGGACAATTCTATTATCATTTATGTTTTGCAGGGAACGGGCCTGAAATCGCACCGCGGCCCGCCGCCCATCGTCATCGCCGCTGCGCCTGCGTGCTTGCCCGCCCCCTTGCCCGCGCTGCTCCCCCTTCCTTTTCCTCGCGTTGCGGGGCCCCCCGCTGGTCGCGGGGGTGCCTGTGTGATCAGGCCGGTCGGCGCCGTGCGTGGGCCTGCCATGCCGGCCAGCAGCGTGGCCGATCCGCGCCGACATAGGGGCGACCTGCAGGCTGGGGGTGGCCCGCGGCGGCCGCGCTGCCCTTTCTTCGTCGAGATCCTCAGGGCCGCGGCTGTTGCGGTGTCACTGCGTGGTGTCTGGCACCAACACAAACGCTGTCATCAGGCCACTCAGTGCCACTGGCATGGGGCCGCGGGCAGACCAGAGGAAGGCGGGCATGCGCACGTGAATGGGTGCATCCTCTACGCCATCTGCGCGTCCCACAGTCTGGATGTAGCTAGCGGTGGCCGCGCTGACTTTTCTTCGACGGGATCCTCAGGGCCGCGTCTGCTGCGGTGCCACTGCGTGGTGCCTGGTGCCAGTGCAAACTCTGCCATCAGGCCATTCAGTGCCATTGGCAGAGGCCGCGGGCTGTCTGGGGGAATGCGGACGGGCGCACGCGGCGGGATGCATCCCCCAAGCCATGCGTGGGACTCTCTCATTGTCCCAAGCCGGCGCAGTGCTGCACCGCCAGCCTCTCGCACCCCGGGTGGTGCCGCCAAGCCCGGCGGGCTCCTCGGTGCATCATCCACTGCGCGTTCGAGTTCTAACTTCTTCGTTTCGGGAAGGCCGGGGTTCAAGTTCCCCGCGGGGGGGGGGTCATCCAGGGCGGGGGGCGCGTTGCCCACGCGTTGTTTCACCGAGCAAGACGAGGAGGGTGAGGTCATTTTCATCATCTTTGTCATCATGTCCTTGATGTCCATTCTGCATTGTTGCATCCTCCACTTCTGCCTTCCCTGCCTCATCTTTTTCATTCGTACGCGCATTCTTCTTGTCCGGCGCGTCCGCGTTGCCCCCGTTTGCCTTGAGCCCCCTGCCCTCGCCCATGGTGATCGCGACCCTGTCTGAGTAGACGATCCACGCTGGAGGGCCGAGACACGAGATACCCCCAAGCACGGCTGTGGCAAAAACTGCCGGGGCAAATCTTGGCCGGCTTGAGCCAAGACCTTGAGCCAAAATGATTACTATGCTAATGCTAATGTTTGCTGCATGATTCACGTGGCTGGAGGACCCCCCCCTGCACGCGCGCCCCCCCCCCCCCCCCCTCCCATTTCCGGAACCCCGCGGCGAGTTCTTGAGAGCTGCGCCGGCCGCGCTACCTCTGCGCGTTGTTTGGCGCCAGCACATCCTGCCATCAGGCCATTCAGCATCGCCGGCAGAGGCTGCGGACCACGATCGCGGGGCGGCCCCTACATCTGAGTGCGAATGACATGTAAATGCCTTCAAGTATTCCTCCTCCTGCATTTCGGCTGCCCGTCCTCCCTCCCCCCTCTCCTTGGGGATCGCGAAGCTGCCCGCTTCTTCTCAGGGGGTCTTAGCGTGGTTGTCCCCCAGAAACGCCCCGGCAGTAAATGGGCGTGGAGAGGAGCTGCCCGCGACGATTATCGGCCGGCACACCTCCTTTTCTTGGGCGCGCAAGGCCGCAGAGTGCGCGAGGCACAAGGAACGAGACCGACGGCCGACGAACTGCTTGCAGTTCCCAGGGTCTGGGGGGGCGCGCGCTGGTGAAGGGGTCTCGGCGGGTGCTGGCGGAAGCGCGCGGCTTGGCGGGGGCTGGCGGAAGCATTTTTTTTGTTGTTCCCCCCCTCCTTCTGGGCACCTCCTTGTCGCGGAATCCCCCCCCTGCCGTTTTTTTCCTGATGCATAACACGTCGCGAAGCAAGGTTGTCCAAGATGGCATCCGCAACAATTGAGGTCGCGAAGCAAGAGTGTCCGAGATGGCTTCCGCAGCAGTTTCCGCAACAGGTGAGGTCGCGAAGCAAGAGTGTCCGCGTCGGCGCGCCGCCCTGGCTGTCACGCACGCTCGCGGATCTCATGTTCGAGGGCGCTCTGACCGCTCAGGGTTGGAGGCGGTCTATGCGTGGTGCGTCTCGTTTTTGGGTGCGCGCGTGCTTGCGTGTGTGCGTGTGTGCTCTGTGTGTGCTCTGTGTGTGTGTGTGTGTGTGTGTGCGTGTGTGCGTGTATGTGCGCGTGTGCGTGTTGGCGCGGCGCGTCTGCGCGCGTGGTTGTGGCACGCGCGCGTGGCCATCCAGGCTCAAGGCCCCCTCGGCCCGCAAAGCGCGGGCGATAGCGCCGCCGCGCGTTGCCGGGCGAGCGCGCGACGGCCGCGCCTTCGGCCACGCGGCGACGCCAACGGACGGATGGGCGGTTTGCGGGCATGCTTGCACAGTTGGCAAGCGGCCGATCCCAGACGTTATGAGAGGGCAGCCCTGAGTAAGGATGTCCAGGCGTTACTGGCCCTGGAGGTCGCCATGCCAGCCCATGGCCAGGCTCCCGGGGCAACGGCGCTGGCGGCCTTCGCAGTGGAGATTGGGGCCTTCCTACGGAGGGAAGCGGCCCCGGCGTTGCGGGGGCAAGGGGGGGGGGGGGGGGGGGGCGACACCTGTGATCTCTCCATGCGCCGGCGGCGACCGCGTCAATGCCGCGGCCGCGGCCGCTGCAGTGCCGAACGTGGCGCCGTCGACCCGCGAGTTGCGCGTCGCCGCCCTTGACCCGGGCAAGGCGGGCCTGGCGGTCCTCGGCACGGATGAGGTGCTCTACTGGCGGCTATGGGGCATCGCAGCCGCGCTGCGGCGCGAAGGTGTGCACGTCTGTGCACTGCCAGGGGCGCGGTTCCCACCCGGAGCGCGGCTCCCTGGCGACATCCCGTGCGCGTGGATCGGGCGGCAGACGTCGCCCTATGCCTCGGCGGGTTTCTTCGCCCAGGCGGAGATCGCGAGATCTGTCTGCACGGTGGAGGGGCGCTGCGGGGAGCGCTGGCGCACGTTGCAGATGGGCCCGGCGGGCCCTGTGGTGCGCGCGTGCGGTTTCTGCGCGGCCTCCGGGGGCGATGCGCAAACTTGGCAGGAGGTGGTCAGGATCCACCAGGAGCTGGCGCAGGCGCCCCCTGCAGCGTGGAGCGTCCTCGTGGGGGGTGGGAACGCGCACTGGGCGGTGTTCTTGGACCACAGCAGCGGCTGCCGGTGCTCGCGCTGCCGTCAGCCGGCGGGGGGCCGAGCGGTGGAGGCCACCGTGTCGGAGGCGGTGTTGTGCCGCCTCCGGAACCCGCGAACCCTAACCCACGCCTCAGGCGCCGCGATTGACGTGTTCGTGGCCCTCCTTCTCGTGCCCCTGGCGGTGCGGGCCCTGGAGTTTGTCGCGGAATCCGATCCCCGCTTTGTGGTGGGAGCGATGCCAATCACGCTGCAGTTGGGTGCCAGGCGGTCGCGAGGCGAGTGGCATGGCTGTCAACGGAAGAGTGGGACGACGCCCTTCACGGGCTAATTACAGCCCCGGCCCTGGAGCGCCTCGCGGCGCTGGTCGCCCCCTTGCGGCGCTGCCCGGAACTGGGGCCGCCGCCAGCGGGCGGTGCAGCACCGCGCAAAGTCCGGAGGCAGATACTAGACTGCACAGCGTGGTGCCGGGGCACCCTGGCGGTGTTCGCGGGCCATTCTGCAGGGGCGATCGCGGCCTGCGCCCCGAGCCGCCACTCGCGGCAGCCTGGGGGGCCGTCGCCAAGGGACTTCGAGTCGTTTGAGGATTTCAAGCACGCGCCGCGGAAGCAGCGTGGAAGTCCCGGAGGGCGGCGTTCCGGAAGCACGCTTCGCTTTCGGAAAGCGACCCTGGGGCGGCGGAGAGGAGCCTCTCGAAGTGGCTCAAGGCCGGCTCGTCGTTCCAGGTGGCCCTGCTGGACGCGGGCTCCGGGTTCTCCCTCGGCAGGGAACAGATGCTGCGAGCGCTTGTGGGGGGCCTTCAGGGGCGCGCGAACAACGACTTCCCAAGGGATCCGGAGGCGGCCCTCCGGCACCAGCAGGAGCTGGGGCTCGTTCGCGCGCGCGGGGCGTCGTCGAGACTCTTCGGTGCCGCGGGTCAAGCGGGATCGGTTTTGCACGCGCCCGAGGTCCCGCGCTCCGCCGAGGAGGTGGCGCGGGCCATCTCGCGGCTGCGCGCGGGCCGACCCAGCGCTGGGGCGCGCCGCCGCAGCTCTGAAGTCCAGGGTTCTGGCTCACAGGCAGGTGGCGGCCGAACTCGTCAATCTTGCGCGCCACATGGGGGGCGCATCCAGCCTTTGGTCACTTCGCAAGTACACCCCCCTCCACAAATGCGGGCCCAAGCTCGTGAGGTCTACCGCGCGCCTCCGTCAGGTGTCGATCTGCTCGGACATGGCGCAGTTGCAAGACGCTCTGTGGGTGGACCGAAACTTCGGCAAGGTCCAGGTCTGGTGCGGGGAGGGCCAGGTGGGGGGGGTCTCCGACCCCCTGTCCTTTGTCATCGCGGTGACGCTCCTCGGGGGGCTCAGGAGGTACCAGGGTCTTGCCACTTACTTGGCGTTCCTGGACCTCACATGGGGCTTCGACGTGGCGGGGCACGCTGGCGTGCTCCTCGCGGCCTGCTGTCGGAGGCGTTCGTGCTCGCTTGCGGCACCGCCCAGGGGCGCCGGTTTAGTGTGCCGGCGTTTAACGCGCTGTTGCGGTCCTTGAAGGATGACTTGACGGACGCCGTTCCAGGGGGCTGCGGGGCGTGTCTGCCAGAGTGGGCGCGGGGCGCGCTCGTGGAAGCCCAGCAGGTTTGCGCGGCGCGTTCGTTAGATGGCCCGCCAGCGCGGGAGGCCGACTTGCGGACGCGCATCGACGTCGAGGCCGCGGGGCGGTCGAAATTCGAGGCCGCGTCGCAATTGGCCACATTGCCGTGCCTGGCGGACCGGGCGACCGTGGTTGAGCTCGGCGGT